CATCACATGACAGTTTCTGTGCTGAGAGCTTCCGCAAGCCCCTTCCTCTGACCCTCCTTGCCGATACTTCAACGTGCGTTGTGTGCCTGTCTGACCCATTGGCTTACACGTATTTCTCTTTTCGGTTGCTCATTTAACGACGCTGTCACTAACGACACTATGTAGCGTCGGATGAGAGGATGTATAATGAGTGTGGAGTGTATTGTGGAATGGGAACTGGCAGGGGAAACGCGCAAGTGCCACTTTCCCCATCCTGGCCTAGGATCGAACCCAGGCCGCGGTGATGGCACCCGCCTTGTATATTATATAGTATATTGTACCGTATTTTGCCCAGAGAGTCAATTTATGTGTAATATTATACTGTGGCGTTCCTGTTGCTCTTTTCACTTAGTGTCAATCAGTTCTTTGCAGTCTCACCTGCAACAGTATGTTCTATAAAAATTGTTAAAAGTTTTTCAGTACACATTTCGAATAATCTGGTCTTCATCAGGTGTTAAAATTACTGGGAGAGGAAACTGCTGCATTCTGTCGTTTCTGCTGTTCATATGTAAGCCCCCTCGATGTGCGTCTGTGTTTTGAGCTGGCGAGTTGCGTCTTCTGCTGCGTGTCTTGTTTGTGAAAACAAGACACTCAGCACAACACACAACAAGAGAGAATACAACCCACCAACTCAAACACGCATGCGCGTCTAAGGAAATTCTATATTAACAACAAAAGGCAACAGTTTTCTCTCCCAGTAATTTTAACACCTGATGATGACATCGGTCGAAACATGTAGCGATACAATTTTAAAGCGAATGCATTTTAAAAGCTTTATAGAACATGCTGCTGTACGTGAGGTTGCAAAAACCTAATCGACACTAAGTATTTATGTGTATTTGTGATCAGAATAAACATCTATTGTTTTCCTATTTCCTGGGCGTTGTTATGGAGAAGCAGTGTATCTTCTGTTGGACACGTGCTAATATTTAGATTAAATTCGTTCTCCTCTGCAGTCTGTCCGGACCAATGGTGGAGTGCTCTGATGCTAATTAGCACTCCTTGCCTACACAGGCTCCTCACATGCAGTCACAACCGTGGACATGACACACATGTTACGCTTCTGGCATCTGACTCACTCCGCACATTGCATATGTACATATCTCGTTACCGAAGCGTGTCGCCTTCTTCTTCTTCTTCTTCTGCTAACAGACGAACACGAATCCTGAGTACGATTCGACACAGATTTCCTTATCTTGGCCACCCCTTCCACGCGCTTCACAATCACACTTCACAACAGTTCTCGCATATACGTATAATCAATCAAATGTATTTAAATAACATACGGGTTTGCTGATAACAGTGACGGTGCGGTCTAAACCATGAAATGTCTTCACCCGCTCAAACACCGGAATCGTTGGTTCGAAACCCATTCGACGCGTGGATGTCTGCGTTTTTTATATGTTTGTGTTAGATGATAATGGCCATGTAAGAATTTCAGAGCCGATTACATTTAGGGTCTAAATAATTATGTGAATGCGTGTATGCGTGCGCAGCAACGTAAAACTGAACACGAACTTTCCGAAATAAATTAAGTTGGCGCATTACGCATCTGGTACAAATTGTTGAGGAATCCTGGTGCACAGTTTGAAAGGCAGTCTGACTTCATACACCGAAGAAATTATAGGAAGAACACGCTTAGCGCCCATCATGGCTTGCGTTGCATCAGTTACAGAGGTTACGTAAGATACGCTCGGTGAACGCGGACTGAAAATACTCAGCCGGAAGACTGCCGACCTGGGTCGAAATTCTGAACAAGGTAGAAGCAAAACCATGACACGGAAGGGGTAAAGATATAAATACATGCGTTCTGTCACAGTCGAGTCGCAGGGTTGCTTCCTAAAATACGCTCTTGTAATTAGGATATATCTGGAGAGCGAGTCAACTACACGGTTTATGCGCAAACTGCCCCCCCCCCTGTTTGTACCAGGCAGGCCCACACAGCGACTCGCACTTCCTGTCCGTGCTCCAGCACACAGCAATCGTCCAGTTTTCCTCAAAGGCTGCGGCTCTACAGACGCAAAACTGTGACGCAAAAACAGAATGGTCTATTCATTGTGCAGGGTACAAGTTACCTGTAAGACCCAGGCAGAGACTGGACGATTTTAAAGAAATGGGATGGGATATCGGCATCCGTCTCAGGATAGGGACCAGTGGCGGGCTCTTGTCGACACGGTAATAAACGGCGGATTTTCTAGAATTCTAACAATTTGACTATTTGTCTTCTCACTATGGACTCTGCTCAACTTAGTTGCGCAACTGCTGTTTAGAACATGAACACTGGCTTCAGTGAATGACTGATGGAACTAAAGTCACAATTCAGAAATTAATACTGTCACGTGTTAGTGACTAGACACGGGGTTTCGTTTGGACACTTGTAACTCGTAGCTACACGTTCAAGTATGTGCACACTCTATACATGACTGTAACTGTGGCATACATAAATTCTTCTTTTTCACCAGTCGTTGCCTCGTAACGGCTAACAACAATATACACTCCTCAGCATCCCTACTTCTGTCCTTACAGGCTGGCGACTGCCTGGCACCCAACCCATAACGGAAGCTGCTAGACAAGGCTCATGATGGCAACTATTTTTTTTATTGCTAGTGGGGTGGGACTTGTACTGCGGCCACTTCTGGCCTATTGTACCAGCCCCTGATGATAGGTGAGGGTGATTGTGGAGCAATTGGTGGAATGAAGATTAGCAGGGGAATCCGAAGTACTCGGAGAAAACCCGCCTCAGCGCCACTTTGTCCACCACAAATCCCAGTTGACCAGACCCGGGATCGAACCCGGGCCGCCGCGGTGGGATGCCAGCGACTAACCGCTTGAGCTATGGCGTGGCCCATGATGGCAATTAACTCAACTATTAACCGGCGGGTGCCCTAGCTATATGCCCTCGGCAGAGACGGCAAAGAAAACATCGCTTCCAAGAATTCTATTGTTGCGTGTTTATTCGTTTCCCAGGGATGGCCTGCTTGTCTGATGACGCAGAAGAATGTGTACTGGACCACTGCCTAGCGACGGATGACGTCTCTTGCTAAACTATTTGATCATCAAGGGCAAAAATTACTTTACAAAAATGACTTTTGCCTAGAATCGTTCCAAATGTGAAATATGCCGCGTTCGCAACCCTGCGGAGCGTCTCGAACAACGGAACAACTCGAGAACCGCTAGACGGATTTTCATTAAATTTCGTATTGGATGTTTTTACGAAATACTGTCGAGCCATTTAGATGGGATAAATTTAACGTACCTACGTACGCATCTCGCTGAACACGTATCGACAAAAACAGAATGGAACGCATGTCACACGCTTAACACATCTTCCCCGCAGTTCTTAGTCCTCTAGATAATTGGTCGAAAGGGCTGAGTGCATTGCATTCTGAGTATAACTGCAGATAAGAATTCTTTAACGAGCCCAGACTGCGGCGAAATTGATTTGTTTTATTCCTTCAGTTTAATGCTCCATTACATTATGACTTTGACGCATATGTTAAACAAGTCATTCATGTACATTTAAACACATACTTAACTTCCGTTCACGGGGCAATAACTGTAACCACTGAAGCCCTGACACTGACTGTTTCTTCGCTCGGTACGTCGAGTCGCTCGCGCCAGTCTGAGCTCTGCTAAGCGTAAACAGTCATCTCACGTGAATTTAACGATTATTATAACGAAACAGTTCACCGCAGTCCCAGCCAAAGCGTGCCTGATCAGTGTACACTGCATGTTTTTACAGTCGCGCTGCTCTGCTTGTTTCGAAACGGAGACTACGGGCCTAATGACAAGAGGAATTTGAGTTCGATTCCCGGCAGAGGCGAAGGGATTCATCTCTTCTCCATAACGCCCAGACCGACTCTGCGGCCCATCCTGCCTCCTACGCAATGGGTACCGGAGAGTGAACATTCAACTCCATCTAGTGCCGACGTTAAGAATGATGGAGCTACACCCCCGCTCCCCCCACATGGCTTCGTGGCGTGGTGCTTAATTAATTAATTAATTAAGAAGACCCGAACTTACACAGAGCAGGTCTGGGCGGAGGAAACTGCAACGCGCCTGTAAGTGACTCCTGTGCGCTCGCCTGGAGATCTCTCACTCCCGCAACGCTTCCATGTTTCCTGGTCACAGTCTTCTCCTTGACTTCCTTCCTGAGTAATACCGTGCTCTAAAAGGTTAAAATCAATCTTCCAATTTTATTCACCGGTAGCAGAATGTGCTGGACCCCTTGGCCAGCAGGGCAAGAGACGGAACTCGGCTCCGTGCGACTGCGCGATGTTTCCTACGCAGCACACATTTTGCAACACTTTGCTCAGGTTACATCTCCGAGAGCACAGCGTCCAAATCCAGGATCATTGGTGATTAACAAATTGCAAGGGATTCAGAAGGAATCAGCCTAACAGTGGTCTTCGTGTGGAGTGACTGAAGAAAGCCATGAAAGCGTTAGTCATGGAAGCCGGTATCCCGGCATCTCACAAATATAAATCTAGACCGTTACCGCTAAACTAACCTGTTCGGTTGTGTGTATGGCATTCTGAACTTTACTCTGACAACAAACGTCTATTAGCAGCTTTGGCCATCGCATATCAAACTCGGATCTTTTAAAAATGAATAAATGCTTAGTAACTATAAGAACTGAGAGTGTCCGACGTACATAACAACCAATCCTTTGTAGCCGGGGGCAACCACGGTGTCCTTTTCAGTCTTACTCGACAACAGCTACAGACAGAAATGGCGCAGAAAGACTAATACTACACATGGCTGTGGCTGCATGTCACTAAAACTTATCTAAATATACGGTACATGATGATCTCATTCCGGGGTGCAAATCCAACCGACATTCCGCAGGAACAGGGCAGGAGAACACTAAGCGAAGCAAGAATCCAGCGTGAATCAGAGGTGACATGTTGGCTACCTTTAAACGGAATACAGAGCTCTTGTCTAAACATGTAAGCACTCACCAGGTACGAAGGGCCGACGTTCAGAGTAAGCAGGAAACGGACGTGCCTGAAACAGATGGAAAGAGCATTTTCATTGTGCTGCTGAGTGAAAGGGTCTAACCCATCTACTGTTTCAGTGTGAGGGGCACGGAAATCTCTAGACCAGCTACGGCGAGCGACTGGCACCGGCTGATACCGATGATCGCCGATTTCGTCCATATTAGCATGTAAAAAGAGTACAGTCGCCCCAGTGCTTAACTAATTAAGCACTACGCCATGAAGGAGTATGGGGGAGTGGATGTACAGATCCACATTTTCTTGGCCTCGGCACTAGTTGGAGGTGAGTGTTCAGCTTCACTCCCAGGCCATTTTACCCGCGGGAAAAGGGCCACTGGTACCCATTGGATAGGAAGTTGGGTGGGCCCCAGAACCGGTCTGGACGACATGGAGAAATGAAAGTTCTTGACCCCACCCGGACTCGAACTCCAACCCTGCCCGTAGCCAGTCGCTATATCGACTACGCTAACCAGGCTACCCAATTTACGTACATATCCTCCCGGAATACTGTGAACAGTTATACAGAGAACGAGACCTACAGATGAAGTACAACCCCGTAACAACTTCATGACGATGGTGTATTAACACAATATTCCATTTTCTGGACAACCTTAAGCTGGACTCTGGTCGCAATACTATGCACTGTCACAGGTACAAACTCTCAGCTCTGTGGCTGAATATGTCTGTTATGTTAACTCCCAGTTGGTTCCCGTCTTCCTGTCTTATGTTACATCTGATGTCCGGAGATATAAACTAACTCTATCGATTGGGTCTAACAGAGCAAGCTCTTTTAACCTGAGGATGGAGGCAGAGTCTAGTCTCCGAAACAACACTTCAAACACAAATAAAAATAAGATAAGATTAAGATAATTCATCACTTCTGTAATATCCTGTCGATTACTTTGAGCCGTGAAACACATTACAGCCAAATTTAAGACGCCTATCACAAACGAAGTGAACGAAGTTTGAGTCTCTCTCAACAAGACGTAAAGAGTAAGATTTTAAAAACCACGCAAAAATCTGCAGCAACAGATATCTCCTTACGCTCACCAGTGCAGCAGCACATATCTCATTAAGCTCACCAATGCAGCAGCATATATCTCATTAAGCTCACCAGTGCAGGAAGATATCTCCTTACGCTCACCAGTGCAGCAGCATATATCTCATTAAGCTCACCAATGCAGCAGCATATATCTCATTAAGCTCACCAGTGCAGGAAGATATCTCCTTACGCTCACCAGTGCAGCAGCATATATCTCATTAAGCTCACCAATGCAGCAGCATATATCTCATTAAGCTCACCAGTGCAGGAAGATATCTCCTTACGCTCACCAGTGCAGCAGCATATATCTCATTAAGCTCACCGGTGCAGCAGCAGATATCTCATTAAGCTCAGCAGTGCAACAGCAGATATCTCATTATACTCACCACATGTTACTACCGCTTACTGGTGACTAATGTCTGGTATACTAAATCCAAAACCACACACCGAAGAAGTTCGCCATCACGGGTCTAAACTGTAGAAAATTACCTTCCACACTGCGCAGGCACAAGGAAAGTACGTATTCTATTAAAACAATTAAACGTTCAGGGTTACAGGGAGGTACATTACCTAGGTACATCGTACTGTCACAGCCGGGATAGCTCAGTCCGTATAACGACTAGCTACGGGCTGGGCAACCGAGCGGTTGGCGTTCGAGTCACGGTAGGACCGAGAATTCTCTCTTCTCCACGTCGTCAGGACTGGCTCTGGGGTTCACGCAACCTCCTATCGAACTTGTATCGGGAGCTCTTTCTAGGGGGGTAAGGTGGCCGGGGCCTTGAAGCTGACCACTCACCTCTAGCTAGTGCAGAGGTCAAGAAATACGCCTTCATTGCGTAGTTAAGCACAGGGTCAACTTTACCTTTCCCTTAACGTCCAGACCGGCTCTCGGGCCCATCCAGCACCCTATGTAATATGCGGGGGCTGGCTGTTTCCCTGAGCGTAAAGCGGCAAGGACATGAAGCTGACCACTCATCTCTATCTTGTACTGACGTTAAGAATGGTGCAGGTATACCTCCACTCCCCATGAATCTTCACGATGCGGTGCTTAGTGAATTAACCTTTTTATATTACCACGACAATGCCAAAGCAAATGAAGGCTGAAGTTAAGCAACTACACTACAACATAATCAAAAGGGCATTAAGAAGAAAGGAAGCAACCGCACTTACAGCAGGACCGCAGCAGAGGTGTGCAAAGAAGGGGCGAGATATTCCCTGAGCAGTAACGTTCACTAAGCGGCTGAGCCAGGGCTCCTCATACTAACCCCTGCGACTGCGAGAACCTCAAATCCAACACCGTCAAGGTAACCTTCAATTTATTAACGGTGATGATACTACAGCCTAACGCAAACATTCCTTATTTACAATAAGACACAGTTCTAACAGGAGCTAACAGTTAACACTCTCGATACATAGACTGGACCTTCCTGCAGAGAAAGGGCTATGTCAATATTCGCTCCGCACTTACCATCTAATCATTCGAGTCACAGACAGTTTGAGTTGCTGACTCACTCACTCATGGAGCCGAGCCCTTCTTGAGAAGCCGCCAGTTGTGCAAGAACTTCCCAGCATTCTATGGAACTCGAAGGTTCATTACCCTGTTCACAAGAGCCATCCACTGGTCCCTATCCTGAGCCAGATCAATCCAATCAATACCATCCCATCATATCTCTATAAGATCCATTTTAATATTGCCCGCCGACCTATGTCTTCGTCTTCCTAGTGGTCTCTTTCCTTCTGGCTTTCCCACCAATATCCTATACGCATTCCTCGTCTCCCCCATTCGTGCTGCATGCCCTGCCAACATCATCCTCCATGACTTGTTCGTTCTAACTATACTTGGAGACGACTACAAGTTATGAAGCTCCTCATTATGCAGTTTTATCCAACCTCCTGTCACTCCATCCCTCTTCGGTCCAAATATTCTCCTCGGCACCCTGTTGTCAAACACCCCCCGTCTGTGTTCCTCCCTTAATGTCAGTGGCAATTTATGATAGTAAAAGTGAATGAAAATATCAAACTGAAAAGTGTGGAGTCGCTTAAAGCATCCACATATTAAAAGAATGTCAGTCGCTTCATAAGAATCGGAAACACGGAATAATTTATCAGGCACGACATAATTTTGAACGAATTCCTACCTTATCACACACCTTCTGCTGTCATTTTGCAAGGCACTTTCATGCATACATAATAAACTAGGCCTAAGGCCGCATCATAGCTCAAGCGGTTAGTAGCTGGCTTCCACCGAGGCGGCCCGGGTTCGATCCCGGGTCTGCTCAAGTTGGATTTGTGGTGGACAAAGTGGCACTGGGGCAGGTTTTCTCCGAGTACTTCGGTTTACCCTGCCAATCTTCATTCCACCAAATTCTCCATAATCATAATCACCCGGGCAGGCAACAATAGACCAATCAGTGGCCGCCGTGCCGAGTGGACCCAGCTGGCCTCCACCCCTCAATAAACGAAACTATGCCTACGTGAAAAATGGCATTTAAGTGATTTCAAGTATCATTACAGCATTCGTGAAGACTGTCCTGCCCCTAGTGGCAAGATCATGAAGCAGGGGTGGATAAGCTGGCGTGCACAGCAGAACAACAGGTGGTTACCAGTCTGCTTGTGTTAATCAAGTTCAGCGTGAATTTAGAGCAAATGTGAAGGCAGGAACGCTCAAAGCAGTACTTAATAAACAGATTATTTAATCGGTTAGATACAACTGGAGCCGTGGTCGGCAATAAGAAGAGACTTAGGCGCCATTTACACAAGAGATTTCCCGATTCTGAGACGCGGGGACAGCGCCATGCAAGCGCCGACCCACTCCAGACAAGTTCGCGCCCAGTCACGCCACGCGCGCTCGGGCTTCTAGTGACACGCAGAAACACGCTATTTACTTCAATTTGACGAAACGATTTTCACTGCCTTAAGACGTCACAGCTATAGCAAAAAGTAAAGCCATCCCTGTAACATGCCGTGGAGGACCAACGGGTTGTGAGACGTCGAGGCTGTAACATTTTCTAGACAATCGGCTCACAGATGACGGTGAGGTTGTCAGCCTAATGCGCCGGCCGCCCTTTACCCCCCAGGAAGATTGCTGGTACTAATTTCTGTTAGAAGCTGAGTCGACCCCAGGGCCATAGTGCGGCTGGAAGGATTAGGTCAATTGAAAAATCCACCTCATCGGGACTGGAACCCGCGACCTACGGGCTTGTGGCATAGTGCCTCAACCAACTACGCTACCGCGTGTCACCGTCACAGCATAGTTCCCAACAGTAATACAGGTACAAATAAATTAACGATCCTACGTTATATTAACGTGCTGGTCACTCCCCCGCCTCTCCTACTGAACTGGAGAGTCTACCTAGTTCTGGAAGAGAGGACATGTATTTATTTTTTGTAAAAGATGCATGATTACATTTATCCTCTTCACATGACCAACTTTTAATCCATTCATAACGGCGTTTATATCTATCCATTAACAGATATTGTTATTAATGTACTAGTACAGCATGGCACAACAAACTGCAGATCTCTTCATATGAGAATTTATTACTTCTCCGTTAACAGAAAGGCACTGTGGCCAAGATGAAAGGCTTCAGGCCAGATCAACTATGAAGCCTTCACCCACTAACACAAGAGTTGAACGAAGTCTCGAGCTCTTCCACTGGGTGGGGGCGGCGGCTCTGCAAGTCCGCGTGTGCGGCCCACAGCCTCGGAAAATCTGCAAGGTGCTTTCTTAACAAACTGGCTGAGTAACTTCGACTCCTAGCGGCCTCCGTAGTCTAGAGGTAACGTTCCCACCTCATGACTCGTAGTACGCGGGTTCAAATACCCGGCGGAGGTCGTCGAATTTTTAAGGGCGGAAAAATTCAGGGAACAAGTCCTCCGGGAGGGACTTTAAGCCGTGGGTCCCGTGTCGTAGCTTTACGGCACGTAAAAGAACCTCATATCTCCAAAGGAGGTCACTGAGCCAAATT